AGCACAACGGTAGCTACAGCCGTTTGATTAAAATTACTCGCACCCTTTCTACATTTATCGTATGCGCAATAAGCTCTAGTTTAAAGCCGGGGCCGGAGCTCTAAATCTACTCCGTAGGGCGCTCGGGGGCATCGTAGAGACAGATTGTTTGGAATTCATTAGCAGGGATAAAACGGCTGCCCTCCGGTTTGTGCGAAAGGGGATCTCGTTTCTGATGCCGATTGTTTTTTAAAGGATCAGTCGAAAATCCTGCGATCGTGATCCGGCACTAATTTGTGCTTGTGCAAGTGTAGGAGGGGTCGCAGTAGCAGGATTCGGTAAATATTGGTGTAATTTGAGCACTGAATTCTTATTAAATCCCTACACTTATATATTTTTTTTTTATTCTGAAGTGTATTATGTCATCATGTTATGCTTTGATTTTGAATACATTTCCGTTTTTGTTATGTTTAATTTTCCGAATCAGAATTCAGAATTAGTAGAATAAGTTTAGATAAATATTTCCAAATATGCTAATAAGCCGCCCTCGTTCATTTGAAAAAATGAGTTATGATTAAACATATGATTTGCACATCTTTTAACCGGCCAGGATAAGACACGAAAAACATTGGACGATCAAATCTACCTTTCCAAGGCTACTTAAACATTAATGGTTTTAACACAACCATGACACTCTAAATTGAAAATGTAAATAATTGACATATGATATGTCATTCTATTCAGAATATAATTTTCTCTCAAGTGAAAAAAACTACCGCGGGTACCATTTAAAAATCAAAAGTTATAGTCATTTCCGGTTAAGCAGGAAGTGACCAAAAGTAATTGAATACGTCAATCAATCCCGATTTATGTCATATATTAACATACCAAATCTCTTTCTGAAAATATAAAAAAAATATAGGCCGTTAGCCACTTTTGAAAAACACCCAGTATAAAAAACTTCCTTAACAAATAAAAATATTTGGTTAGAAGTCGTAGACAATAGATTATGATGGATTATATACATACCATATCCTAACGTTTTAATGATGTATATGTATGTTTGTATGTATGTATATTTTTATATATTTTTTATGTATTTATGTATATAGTAACCATGCTCCTGTACAGAGCGTAGGTAATCTCTCTCATATACTTATAATGTATGTAATCAGATTTTGACAAGCACGTGGGACCTACTTTATCGCCGAATTCAAGCTGAAGTTTTATCTTCATAGTTCTTCAAAAAACTCTTTAAAATGTATAAATCGATAAAGAAATACTTTTAAATCTTTTCATTTTTGTTAGATTTAGATGTTTTAATTAATTTTTGATATTTTCTAATGATACATGCACCAGCTGAAACATAATAAAAGTAAAAAACATAAAAACCAGTAAAAAAATGAGAATCCGTATAACCGAAGACGAATGGCATCGTGCAAGAAAAAATATTTTTAGTTTTCTAGTTCTGTGACAAAATATTCTCATTTGCAACGCAAAGATATAGACATTATCTTCAAATAAAACACTTGAAACAGTTATTTCTCTCTATATTCTATCTCTTTATAAGTGTAAAAAAGTATGATATAAACCTGAATTATTGCAAAATGGCATATATCCTGTGACTGTCTTTCAAAATATAGATGACATTTACAAGGAACATAAAGATGCCAATAGAGAAGAAACTAATTTTAGACCTTTTACACCTTGTATATATTGAACAGATTTGACACTTTGTATTTACGTTTTCGTATTAGTGTAGTGAGAAAATTATATTGAGCATCAAAGTGGAATACTAAAGAAACAAACTAATAGAAAAAGTTTTGCACCAACAATTCATGCAATAGCAAAAGTTACTTATTAAAGAACTATTTGCACTGCGAATACCAAACGATAAAAAAAATTGCGTCAAACTTAGCTTGGAACTGAAAATGACACTGGTGAATTTATATGTAATATAATTTTTCATGTGGTTAATGTCATCGATCGTCATTTTCAAACCAACTTAACACCGATTTTTTTATCATACTTATGGTTTACTATGGACTTCAGACAAAGCAGCAATTAAAATAAAAAATAAAAATAAAACAACAATAAATAATATTTAAATCCCATTTAATTAACCGTATATGTACATAATATTGCATCAGTATTTACATCACAACTTAAGACTAAAATAAAACAAACATAATCATAAACTTATATACAAACTACATAAAAACATACAGAAATAAACAATAAGGAAATAGCAAATAAGCGGCACAAAAACGTATTTTTTAAGAAACAATAAAAATATAACTTTCGTATCATATAGCTCTAAATTATATATACTGATGTTTGAGTAGTGTTCTAATTACTTTCAAGATAATTTGAAGTTATAGGTTGAGAAATTATTATATTAATATAGTCAACACATTCATATTCCTATTTAAATACTACAGAGTATATCGTCACATTTGAATCAAATTTTTTCATAATTAATAAAATTAATTTTCCACTCATAACAAATACATCGAATTATCAAGGATTTTCATTTAATAAATTAAAATGTTTCTTTTTTCAAGTGAGAAATGATAATACTATTAAAAAGCGTCTATTAGAATATTGATTCTTTTTGACATAGACAGAATACCAACTACCAACTAACGTAATTGCAATTTGTGTTAGCAGATAATTCAAAATTTATTTTAGTCATCATCATGACTCATTGTTTTGATATCTTTTTGCGAAAATTAATGTTGTTTTGCGAAAATTAATGTCTCAATTTGGTGGCAATCTTCCTTTCTAAGCCATACCTGAAGAAAGCTTGAAAAAAATATTTGAAGTCTTTTTAAAGCAGGTAGACAATATTTTTTACAAAGCGCTTTTAATGTGTTTGGTCTGTAAGTTAAAACATGAACAGAAATACAATGGACGTCCGACTAAATAGAAATTAATTTGGTGTATTGTGGTAAATTAGTGTTATTTTGTTGTAGTAAACTGTGGAGAATAAAATATTGGCGTCTGAGGTAACAAGACTACAACATTTTTATTTATAATAAAAACATAACCAAATTGTAAAGCAAGTTACCTTCTCATCTAAAAATTCAGAAACTTCTAATTTGAGGAGGTTAATATTTCCCATAATTTATCTGTATGTGATACTCTTTTAATTATAAAAATTTTTCATCCAAGGCGTTTATTAAAAGTATTTTTAGATCTAACATAAACACAAATCTGAATCATTTAGGTTAAGAATATTTGGAGGTGTACTTTTTAAAACAGTTTCCACTTTCTGGCACTTCCAATTTAACTAGATATTGCAACTAATCGTAATTCTATATTTTGTCTTTTGGATTCTGCATTAACACATTTTGCGCATAATATTTTTTATGTCTAAATTTAATCGTTTTTGAAATATTTTCAATTTTGTTTTCTATACCTAAAACAGTTTTCGAAATATTTTCATCTTATTTTTAAACTATGATATTTAAAAAAAAGCATAGTAAAAGATAGACAACATAAACTTAAAATATGTGTATCAATGTCTAAAAATGTATCATTCATTTCTACTCTACAAATTTAATGTTTGACATAAAATTCATAATGTTTTAAAAAAGATAAAACGTACAGTAGAACTTCACTAATTCAGACAAATTGGACACTCCAGTAGTTCGGCGCCGGCGGCTCAAAATTCAAAGTCAAATGAAAGAAAGTCCGCATTTTTCTTTGACGGTGGATGGTTAGATGCAGTGTGTAGTCTAGTATCGGTATATAACGTGCGTTTTTTTATAGAACATGAGTCAGGAGTATTGTATATTGCTAAAAAGTAGAGCCAACTATATAAACAAATCTTGCTGAATAAATGCAAGATTGGATTGAATTGATAAGGAGGGAAGGATACGTAACATTCCATTTTTTGCTGTTCCGACGTTTAATATTTCATATAAAGGAATAAGAAAATCAGACATACCAAGAACAAGAAAAATCATATCTACTAAGAAAAAAATTAAACCTGTATGTATAAAGATACTGGGCATTGGAAACAAAGGAAACAAATGACGACTTAAGTGAAACAAAGGATATCAATACTGGGTTGAAAATGAAACTTAGCAATGCTGTAAAATCCTTATCAAAAGATATTTACTGGGTAGAAGAAAATGATGTTTCTACGAAAGATATTTTGCTTTTGAAAGAGAAGGCCGTTCAAAAGAGAAGGCCGTTGAGGTAGCAAAATCGATAAGTATGTATGCAGATAAAATCGATTCATTTTTTAAGAACCAATTAATTCAAATCAATCAATTAATCTCTTGACATTTTTATGACAAGTATTTAACGTGTATTAAGGTGCTTAGTTACTTAACATGAATATTGTAGTAAGTACTAACTGAGTTGTCTTATGTGTCTACATGAAGTACAATAAGAACAATTTATGAGAACAAAAAGAAGTTGTAATATGCTTTATAAAACGTTTTGGTTTAAATAAAAATATGTTTAAATTTTGAGTTTAGGTTGGAAACAATAACATTATAAATACATTCCAACAATTCGTCGGTTGCTGTTCTGATATTTGTCCGAACTACCGAAGTTCTACTGTAGTAACATTATGCGTATACATAAGTATGGAACAGATAATATATTTTGTATGGAACAGAATAGAATATATTAATCAATGGTTTTATTTAAAATAGTAATTAGTATTCACTTCCAGGTTAACCAAAAATGGAAATGGTAGGAAATGAAAAATATTTTTTAAAAAGTACACCCCCAACCTAAAACATTCCCAGATTTGTATTTAAATAAAAAAATACCCAACATATCGTGTGAAAAACACTATTGTTATTTTATTTTCCGCTTATCGTAATATATCGTCTTGATCTCACCCGCTCACATATTATCCCTTACTCGCTACTTAACTTTACTATTTGGCATATAGTATACTATTACTACAGCGCGTGCTACGCACATGTATTTGGGTAGAGCCTGTACGGCCTGGGCATAACCATGCCCGAAGTACTAGGTCCTGGCATATGCGGGCCTACCTCTTCCAGATTGTCCGGCCTCCTGGGCACCTTGCTGTCCTCGAAGTCGCGCAGTCGTTGCGAATACCGCTCCATCTGTTGCCGGAGCAAACGGTCCTCGTTCAGGGCGGCCTCTTCGTCAAACTCGAGACAGCCCACCCCATCCAGACGATCCAGATCGATCCAGCCGCGCCATCTCACGCAGACGCCGTTCATAATAAACGAGGATTTGATGTTAACCTGAAAAGGAAGAGAAGCAACGGTTAGTTTGGTTAAAGAAGGAAATATTGACGGCAAAATAGATTTGAATAAAAAACATGAAGCACCTTTTTAGGTCTAAAATTTTTAATAAGTTTTTTTTCTCAAAAACGGCTAATTATACAGGGCCCGACAATAATGCGTCGGGCATCTGTAGCTCCTAGAATAAAAAAATTAGGAATTTTGTTTAAATGCGTACCTAAAGTGTGTACGAGGATGTATTTTTGGCTTTCTTTGGCTTCCTTTCAGATCACTTTACATAATATTAAAATATGAGTAAATATATTTCGATAGTTTCCGAGATATTAATAAATAAATAGAAAATATATATATATTTTTTAGCCTTTCTTAAAAAGATTATTAAAAATACAAGAACTGTCCTGAAATCAAAACTATATTAGGCATTTGTTTTAGATGGTCTGTACTTACTTTGCTATAAATATGGTAATTGTAAATCATAGAGGATGTTCAAAATTCTACGCCAAACTTCCTAAAATATAAAATAATTTTTCTTCGTTATTTTAAAAGGAACACCCTGTATATAATTTTTTCAGTAGATGGTAAATTAAAAAATGAAGCATTTTTGTATTCACAGTATTTCGAAATTTTTAACGGTTTCGCAGATATTCGCCGTTTTATATTTTAAATGGCATTTTCCACTAAATTAAAAAACATTAAACCAAAAAACACTAAATTTTTATCAAAGCCATCCAATGATTTTTCGCTCGTATTTTGCCGTTGAAAGAGCCATATGAAATAATACTGTGTGTATCTGCAAAACCATTAAAAATTTTGAAATAATTTAAATACAAAAAATATTCATTTGTTAACTCTCCATCTTCTTCTTTACGTGCCGTCTCTTTCGTGGAGGTTGGCGATCACATTGGCAAAATCTTCACGATTCTCGGCTTTCCTTATAAGTTCTTCAAAAGTTAGCCGAGTCCAGTTTCTGATGTTTCTCAACCAAGATAGTTTCTTCCTGCCGAGACCTCTCTTTCCTTCAATCTTACCTTTAACTATCAATTGTAAGACGTTGTATTTTTCATTTCTCAATATATGCCCTAAGTATGATGTTTTTCTTATTTTTATTATATTGAGCAATTCTCTCTCTCTGCCTATTCTGTTGTAGACTTCGGTATTTGTGACATGGGCTGTCCATGGAATTTTAAGCATTCTTCGATATATCCATGTTTCGAACGATTCGAGGCGATTCATCTCTTGAACTTTCAGTGTCCATGTTTCTGCTCCGTATAATAGGATTGACCAAACATAACACTTAACGAGCCTAGTTCTCAACTCTAGGTCCAATCTGGGGTTCTGGAAGACGTTCTTCATTTTTAAAAATGCATTTCTCGCTTGTTCTATTCTGGTTTTTATTTCCACGTCGTTGTTCAAGGTGTTAACTATCCAGGACCCCAAAGATTTGAGCTTGTAGACCTGTTCTAAGGCATTGCCCTCTATTTTAATAGGAATAGGTACATTTTGGTTCTTTCCAAATATCCTATCCCGTATTACTTACAGGAGCCTTCAAGTCGTTCCACTAAACTCTGGAGACCAGTATCAGAATCGGCAATAAGAACTGTGTCATCGGCAAATCTAATGCTGTTAATGACTTCGCCGTTGACTTTAATACCGCAATCTGTTGAAGAGAAAGCTTCCCGAAAAATCGCCTCAGAATAAACATTAAATAACGAAGGAGACAGCACACATCCCTGTCTTACTCCTCTCTGTATATTGACTGGATTGGAATTGTCATTTTCAATTTTCATGTGTGCTGTTGGCTGCCAATATATATTTTTCAGAAGTGCTACATCTTTGCTGTCAACTCCCAACTTATACAACATTTCGATAAGTCTCGTATGTTTGACTCTATCGAATGCTTTTTCGAAATCTACGAAACACACATACATTGGTTTTTGTTGGTCTGTACACTTCTGCGCCATCAATTGTAAACAGAATAAGGCCTCTCGTGTTCCCAATCCACTCTTAAACCCAAACTGTTCATAGCCGCTTTCTTCATCTAATAAAATAATAATATACAGGGTGTTCCATTTAAAAAAAAAGAAGAAAAATTATTTCATATTTTAGAGTTTGGCGTAAAATTTTTAACACCCTGTATGATTTAAGATTACGATATTTATAGCAAAGTTAAGTATAGACCATCTAAATTAAATACCTAATATAGTTCTTTAAGACTCACCCTCTACAGGGTGTTCGAAAAATACACGGTAATATTTTAGGGGAAAATAGAAAAGAAATTTCTTATAAACATGGGTACGGATGTGCATAATTTTCAAGATGCAGGATGTTAATCTTTATTTTTTTTCCTGTTCGACCTTTTCGAAACTATCAGAGTTATTTCTAAAATTATTAGCCTAATTTTGGCTTAATTAAAATTAAATTATTAACTTCAGTGGCGTCCCAGAAGACAACTTAAAGAAACTAATTGCGAAAATATGTACGCCACTGAGTTCCCTTCCTGGGGCGCTATTCTGTACAATCGTCGGTATCGGCAAGTTACCGTCAACTATCGGTACATACGGCCAATGAGCGTCGTGTTGATTGTTGTTGTCATAGTTACCGATCGGCCCTATGACAGATATCGCAAATTTGTACCGACGACTCTCGGTATCTCTACCGTGAGGTTCACAAGGGCACGGTAGAGATACCGATTTTCGTCGGTACAGATTTGCGATATCTGCCATAGGACCGATCGGTAACTATGACAACAACAATTAACACATTTTTACTATATACAAATACGTATCGAGAGCTGTCGTAACTTACCGATACCGACGGTTTTACAGAATAGCGCCCCTGAACTGTTTCCGAGAAAAAAATAAAACAAACTCTTTGTAGGTCTCTAAAAGATTAAATTTTATAATACCCCTGAATGATGTGCCGTCAAATTGCAAAGATTTTTAATCGAGAGAGAAAATGCTCGAATCTAGAAATTTTAGTGCATTAGAAAATTTTAATGCAAGCTCAGCCGAAGCCGAAACACAATATAATTATAAATTTTGTCATATTATATCAAATTACATAAATTTGGCCTTCTTGACACTCCTCCGAAATAAATGGAACGCTATTTACATAAACAACAGAAACTAAATTTCACGTCTCATTCAACGCCAACTGGGACACATTTTACTGCCACCACCCGCCATCAATCCATCCATCCCTAAACCTTCCTTTCTAATTTTATGGACCCAACAACCCTCCAAAACGACTAATTTTCACAGAAAAACGAACAATTAGCCATGGGCTGTTACAGTCCTGCCCGATGACCTATTTAAACATTACTAATGACAACCGGAAGTGACCGTTTGGGCCATTTTCGACGCTCAATTTGTGCAATAAAAGGCACTTTTGTGAGCCGGGCACGAAGATACGTGATAATGGACCGATTCGGAAGATTTGCGCTCTATTTCAATGGCTAGATACAAATATGGGTTACCTAATGGGAAAGTGTGCTAGATTTTTGTTATTGTTACGGAAATGTTATCAATAGAATCGAAATTTAAATTTTAAATGTGCTTCTGGGCTGGACTAATAATATGGAATTCGAGTCATAATTTAATCAATTTCACGTTATGTTAGAATGCTAATATACAGGGTGTCTCAAAAAACATGTGCCATCTCTCGCGGGGAGATTCCACACGTAAAAATATTGATAAAAATTTTAAATAAGTTTTTTCTCAAAAACGGGTAGTTAATTTTGGCGCACATTGGCGCACAGCGGCGCACATTTTTTTTTAATATACAGGGTGTTTCAAAAAACTCTGTGTGTCATCTCTCGTGGGGAGATTCCTTACGTAAAAATAAGATTAATTTCTCATAGCAACATAGGTCCGATTCCGCTTTGTTTCGTAGCTACAGGGTGGTAATGTCTTAATATTTTTTCGATTTATTATAATTCGTCACGCACGTTCCCGACAAATTTATCGACACTTTTCTAACATTAAAGTATGTAGCACTTATAGTAACCTTTACCCTCCAAATTTCACTGGAATCACTAAAAATACTTGGAAGAAAATTATAATAAATCGAAAGATTATTAAGATTTTAACACCATGTAGCTACGAAATGAAGCAGAATGGGACCTACGTTGTTATGAAAAATAAAACTTATTTTTACCTGAGGAATCTCCCCACGAGAGATCGCAGATGTTTTTTGAAACACCCTGTATAAAAATATTCCAGTATTAACCCATATGCACGTCCCTGGCCAATCTGTAGACATTTTTTAGCATTTTTGAAATATGTCACTAAAAAAATTAGTCAATAAAAAAATTAAGAATTTAAATTAAGTAACATATAAGAAATAACTCTTATTTTTACCTACTAATTTTACCACTAAAAGTTCACGGTAGATCGTCATTAAATTTAACTGTACAGGGTGTCATTGAAATGGTGTAAAAAAAATCGGGGGGTGATAGTACTCCTAAAAATAACAAACTTACTATTTTTAGGAGTACTATCACCCCCCGATTTTTTTTACACCATTTCAATGACACCCTGTACAAATGTTAAAAAATAACATACTCTTTAAAGGTAACAAAAACGTACTAAAAGTTATACATAAAATTAAAAGGTAATATTTCTTGCAACATAATTTGCATTTAATTGTTAACAAAACATATTTTTATTCTTTTTTCTCGAAAAAAATTCTGTTAAAAAATCCTATTAGTTATCTAGCAGTGTTTTTCGTTAGAAAACAGGCGGGATTTCCCTGTGTAATAACATGACTATAAAAAACTTATTATTCATTGATATAAGATGTATGGTTATGACCCTGACAATGTACTTTCTGTAGGTCACCTTTTTCATACATGTGTTGTCGTGTATTTTAATTAATATATTGCTACAGGTGAAATTCAGAAATTACTATTTAACATGAACAATAATTATTTTTAATTTTATTTATGATTACAATTGCAAGAAACCTAATTAGAGTAACGCAAATTATAATATAATTAGCAT